CCCCCCCCCCCCACACACACACATATCCTATAAAAAACCTATGTCTCAACCCTGACAGTGTGCCTTTTTCTGCAGCCTCCTAAAATAAAAGCATTCATCGACAAGGTCATCCAGTGTCCTTTACAAGATATAGCAATACCTCTTTCAGGGTTTTGTTGGGAGTACAACAAGGTTGCAACACTCTACCTCTTTTTTTTTCAAGATTTGTTTGTTTATTTTTGCCCTTGGTCTTTACTATTTCTTCCTTCCATTTCAGGGAAATTTTCATCACTGGAGGCTACTATTTCTGCATTTTGATACATACTTCAAGACACATTTGTCTTCTAGGAAAGACCTCCTCTTGACCGATGATATTCTAGAAGATGATAGTCTGTTTCCAAAACAAGCAGTTCTACAAATTTTACGAGTCATGCAAATCATTATTGAGAATTGCCATAATAAAAGTTCATTTAGTGGCTTAGAGGTATGCTGGAAATGGTAGAATCACAAAATTTTAAATCCATTGTAGGTCTAGGTGAAACTATGCTGTATTTTATGTTTTCTCATGTATAGTATATACCCTCTTGCTAATTTACTTTGTCTCTGCCAATATTTTTTTGACTAAACTGTGTTTTGTCTCTTCAGCATTTCAAGCTCTTGCTTGCTTCAACTGATCCTGAGGTTATTGTGGCAACCTTGGAGACTCTTTGTTCATTGGTAAAGATAAATCCATCCAAACTACATGCAAACGGAAAGCTGGTTGGTTGTGGCCCGGTGAATAGCTGTCTCCTGTCACTTGCACAGGGTTGGGGAAGCAAGGAAGAGGGATTGGGTCTTTACTCATGTGTTATTGTGAATGAAAGAACTCAAGAGGAAGGGCTATCCTTGTTTCCATCTGATGTACAAAATGATTGTGACAAGTCTCAGTGCCGAATAGGGTCCACTCTTTATTTTGAATTGCATGGTGTCAATTCTAAAAGAATTGGGGAAAAAATTGGTGATGGGACAGTTTCTTCTGACATGAGCGTTATACACATCCCAGATCTCCATTTTCGGAAGGAGGATGATCTGTCACTCATGAAGCTATTGATGGTGCAGTACAATGTACCTCCTGAGCACAGGTTCTCGTTGCTCACAAGAATCAGATATGCACGTGCCTTTCGTTCTCCCAGAATATGCAGGCTGTACTGCAGGATTTGTATACTTGCATTTGTTGTGCTCGTTCAGTCTAATGACTCTCATGAAGAACTTGTTTCCTTCTTTGCAAATGAGGCAGAATATACAAACGAGCTAATCCGGATTGTGAGGTCTGAGGAAACTATTCCTGGAACCATTAGAACACTTGCTATGCATGCCTTGGGAGCTCAGTTAGCTGCATATTCATCCTCTCATGATCGGGCACGTATTTTGAGTGGATCGAGCATCAGTTTTGCGGGAGGTAACCGTATGATTCTCCTTAATGTGCTGCAGAGAGCAATTTTGTCACTAAATAACTCTAATGATGGATCATCTATTGCCTTTGTTGAAGCGCTTCTACAATTTTACCTGCTTCATGTCATATCATCTTCAAGTTCTGGGAGTGTTATTCGGGGGTCTGGAATGGTACCCACGTTTTTACCTCTGTTGGAAGATTCTGACCCTGCACATGTGCATCTTGTCTGTTTAGCTGTAAAAACTCTACAAAAGCTTATGGACTATAGCAATTCTGCAGTGACCCTTTTCAAAGATTTGGGTGGAGTAGAGCTCTTGGCACATAGACTGCAGATAGAAGTACACAGATTGACTGATTTGGCTGGAGCAGATGATAATTCAATGAGTGTTGGTGCATGCTCAAGATATAATGATGATCAATTGTATTCTCAAAAAAGGCTTATCAGGGTTTTATTGAAGGCATTCGGATCTGCTACCTATGCCCCTGCCAATTCAACAAGATCCCAGAACTCCCATGATGTTTCCTTACCTGCCACTTTGTCACTGATATTTGGGAATGTGGGTAAATTTGGAGGTGATATTTATTCATCAGCTGTGACTGTTATGAGTGAAATAATTCACAAAGACCCCACATGTTTTCCTGCTTTGCATGAGTTGGGTCTTCCCGACGCTTTTTTATCATCAGTGGTTGCTGGAATACTTCCTTCTCCGAAGGCTCTTACATGTATTCCTAATGGTCTTGGTGCCATGTGTCTTAATGCCAAAGGCTTAGAGGCTGTGAGAGAAACTTCAGCGTTACGGTTCCTTGTTGACATCTTCACTGACAAGAAATATGTAGTAGCAATGAATGACAGTATTGTTCCTTTGGCAAATGCTGTGGAAGAGCTTTTGCGGCATGTGTCTTCATTGAGAAGTACTGGCGTTGATATTATCATTGAAATTTTGAACCAACTTGCTTCAATAGGTGACACCAGTTGTACAGAGTCATTGGGAAAAGGCAACGAGAGCACTGCCATGGAAATGGATTCCGAAGACAAGGAAAATGTGGGCTCTTCCTGTCTGGTTGGTGTCACAGATTCAACTGTGGAAGGCATAAGTGATGAGCAGTTTATCCAACTTTACATCTTCCATGTGATGGTACTCGTTCACAGGACAACAGAAAATTCTGAAACATGTCGATTATTTGTGGAGAAGTCAGGAATTGAATCTTTATTGCAACTTGTTCTACGGCCAAGTATTTCACAATCATCAGAAGGGATGTCCATAGCTTTACATAGCACCATGGTCTTCAAGGGTTTTGCTCAACATCACTCTGCTCCTTTAGCACATGCCTTCTGTTCCTCTCTCAAGGATCATCTGAAGAAAGCTTTGACCGGATTCAGCATGGTTTCAAGCTCTTTCCTGCTGGACCCTAAGGTGGTTCCAGACAGCGGAATCTTTTCTTCACTTTTTCTTGTTGAGTTCCTTCTATTTCTTGCTGCCTCAAAAGACAATCGTTGGATAGCTGCATTGCTTACTGAATTTGGAAATGGTAGCAAGGATGTTCTTGAAAACATTGGATGTGTTCATCGGGAAGTTCTATGGCAGATTGCTCTACTGGAAGATGCTAAGCTTGAGACAGAGGACGATGGTGCTAGTTTGGCTGACAAGTCACAACATCCAGAATTGAATCTCAATGAAACTGAAGAGCTAAGATTCAATTCTTTTAGGCAGTTTCTTGATCCGTTACTGAGAAGAAGGATGTCGGGATGGAGTTTTGAGTCTCAGTTTTTTGACCTCATAAACCTATACCGAGATCTCACTCGTGCTTCGGGTCTTCAGCAACGGCAAACCTCTGATGCTTCTTCAAACATGCAGCTTGGAGCCACTCATCAATCACCTCAGTCTGGTACTTCTGATGGTGCTGATGGTAGAAAGGAAGATGACAATCAGAGATCATATTATTCTTCTTGTTGTGATATGGTGAGGTCATTATCACTTCACATCACTCATTTGTTTCAAGAGTTGGGTAAGGTAATGGTGCTTCCATCTCGCCGACGAGATGATGTGCTGAATGTGTCCCCTTCTGCAAAATCAGTGGCATCTACCTTTGCTTCCATTGCACTGGAGCACATGAATTTTGGAGGTCACGTCATTCCTTCTGGTTCAGAGGTATCTGTGTCAACTAAGTGTCGATACTTTGGCAAAGTTATTGATTTCATTGATGGTGTTCTACTGGACAAGCCAGACTCATGCAATCCAGTTTTATTGAATTGTTTGTATGGGCGTGGCGTTCTTCAATCAATATTGACCACATTTGAAGCTACCAGTCAGTTGCTCTATGCAATTAACAGGGCTCCTACTTCTCCTATGGAGACTGATGACGGGAGTTTAAAGCAGGATGAAATAGAAGAGACAGATCATTCCTGGATATATGGTCCTTTGGCTGACTATGGTAAACTCATGGACCACTTGGTGACTTCGTCGTTTATTTTATCTCCTTTGACAAAACACTTGCTCACTCAGCCTGTAGTGAGTGGAGATATTCCATTTCCACCGGATGCAGAGACATTTGTAAAGGTCCTCCAGTCCATGGTACTGAAGGCAGTGCTTCCTATTTGGACTCACGCACAATTTACGGATTGCAACTCTGATTTCCTTGCAATGGTTGTTTCCATTGTTCGGCATATTTATTCAGGGGTTGAGGTGAAAGATGTCAGTAGCGCTGGGGCTCGAGCACCTGGTCCTCCACCTAATGAATCAACTATTGCTACAATTGTGGAGATGGGTTTTTCCAGGTCCCGAGCAGAAGAGGCTTTGAGGCAGGTTGGTTCAAATAGTGTGGAGCTGGCAATGGAATGGTTGTTCTCACATCCAGAGGAAGCTCAAGATGAAGATGAACTTGCTCGTGCACTTGCGATGTCCCTTGGAAACTCGGTAGCAGACACAAAGGATCCTGCTAAAGAGAGTAGTCAGCATATTGAAGAAGAAATTATTCAACTCCCTCCTGTTGACAATTTGTTGTCAACATGTAGAAAACTTCTGCAAATGAAGGACTCTCTAGCTTTTCCAGTTCGGGATCTTCTTGTAATGATATGCTCCCAAAATGATGGTCAACAAAGGTCCAGTGTTATTTCATTTATTATAGAGCAAGTGAAACTCTGTGGTGACATTTCTGACAGTGGAAACAATAACATGCTATCTGCTCTTTTTCATGTTCTTGCTCTAATTCTCAATGAAGATGCAGCAGCAAGAGAAGTTGCTTCGCAGAGTGGTTTGGTTAAAGTTGCTTTGGATCTTCTTTCATGTTGGAATTTTGGGTCATGTGGAAAGGAGACATCTCAAGTTCCTAAATGGGTGACAGCAGCTTTTGTTGCAATTGATCGTCTTGCTCAAGTGGATCAAAAATTAAATGCCGATATCTTAGAGCTGTTGAAAAAGGATGATACTGGTAGCCATAAATCTCTAGTAATCAACGAGGATAAGCAAAACAAGTTGCAGTCAACTTTGGGTCTATCTTTGAAATATATCAATATACAGGAGCAGAAGAGACTTGTTGAGATCGCTTGTGGTTGTATCAGTAACCAGCTTCCATCTGAAACAATGCAGGCTGTTCTGCAACTGTGTTCTACGCTTACGAGGACTCATTCTGTTGCTCTAAGTTTTTTTGATGCTGGGGGTTTGCCTTTGCTGCTTTCCTTGCCAACAAGTAGCCTGTTTGCTGGATTTGACAATGTTGCTGCTACCATAATTCGCCATATCCTCGAAGATCCCCAGACTCTCCAGCAAGCAATGGAATCTGAGATACGGCACAGTGTTGTGACTGCTGCTAATCGGCAGAGCAACGGACGGCTTACACCCCGGAATTTTCTCTCAACTTTAACTTCTGTCATTTCACGGGATCCAGTGAGTTTCATGCAGGCTGCTCAGTCTGTGTGCCAAGTTGAGATGGTGGGTGAAAGGCCATACATTGTCTTGCTGAAAGATCGTGATAGGGATAAATTTAAAGAAAAAGAAAAGGAGAAAGAGAAAGCAGAGGAGAAAGATAAGCCACAGGCTAACGATGGGAAGATTGTTTTGGGTAGTATGAGCTCATTGGCTCCTGCAAGTGGGCATGGAAAACATGTTGATGCAAATTCCAAGAATGTCAAAGTAAATAGAAAACCTCCTCAAAGTTACATAAGTGTGATCGAGCTTCTGTTGGATTCAGTGATAACTTTTCTACCTCCATTGAAAGATGATAGTGTTGGCATGGATGGCTCATCAACGGAGATGGATGTTGATGATTCTGTGTGCAAGGGGAAAGGAAAATCTATTGACTCTGTATCTGGAGAGAATGACGCCAATAACCAGGAATCTTCGGCATCTTTGGCGAAGATGGTATTTATATTGAAGCTCTTGACTGAAATTCTCTTGATGTATGCTTCATCTGCTCATGTTCTCCTCCGAAAAGATGCTGAAGTTAGCAGTTGCAGGAGCCCTCCACAGTGTGGTCATGCAGATTACTGCCCTAGTGGAATATTTCACCATATTCTTCACAAATTTCTTCCATATTCCAAGAATTCTAGAAAGGACAAGAAAACAGATATTGACTGGAGGCATAAACTGGCAAGCAGGGCTGGCCAGTTTTTGATGGCGTCTTGTGTTCGTTCCACTGAGGCAAGGAGGAGAGTTTTCACAGANAAAATGATGGTCAACAAAGGTCCAGTGTTATTTCATTTATTATAGAGCAAGTGAAACTCTGTGGTGACATTTCTGACAGTGGAAACAATAACATGCTATCTGCTCTTTTTCATGTTCTTGCTCTAATTCTCAATGAAGATGCAGCAGCAAGAGAAGTTGCTTCGCAGAGTGGTTTGGTTAAAGTTGCTTTGGATCTTCTTTCATGTTGGAATTTTGGGTCATGTGGAAAGGAGACATCTCAAGTTCCTAAATGGGTGACAGCAGCTTTTGTTGCAATTGATCGTCTTGCTCAAGTGGATCAAAAATTAAATGCCGATATCTTAGAGCTGTTGAAAAAGGATGATACTGGTAGCCATAAATCTCTAGTAATCAACGAGGATAAGCAAAACAAGTTGCAGTCAACTTTGGGTCTATCTTTGAAATATATCAATATACAGGAGCAGAAGAGACTTGTTGAGATCGCTTGTGGTTGTATCAGTAACCAGCTTCCATCTGAAACAATGCAGGCTGTTCTGCAACTGTGTTCTACGCTTACGAGGACTCATTCTGTTGCTCTAAGTTTTTTTGATGCTGGGGGTTTGCCTTTGCTGCTTTCCTTGCCAACAAGTAGCCTGTTTGCTGGATTTGACAATGTTGCTGCTACCATAATTCGCCATATCCTCGAAGATCCCCAGACTCTCCAGCAAGCAATGGAATCTGAGATACGGCACAGTGTTGTGACTGCTGCTAATCGGCAGAGCAACGGACGGCTTACACCCCGGAATTTTCTCTCAACTTTAACTTCTGTCATTTCACGGGATCCAGTGAGTTTCATGCAGGCTGCTCAGTCTGTGTGCCAAGTTGAGATGGTGGGTGAAAGGCCATACATTGTCTTGCTGAAAGATCGTGATAGGGATAAATTTAAAGAAAAAGAAAAGGAGAAAGAGAAAGCAGAGGAGAAAGATAAGCCACAGGCTAACGATGGGAAGATTGTTTTGGGTAGTATGAGCTCATTGGCTCCTGCAAGTGGGCATGGAAAACATGTTGATGCAAATTCCAAGAATGTCAAAGTAAATAGAAAACCTCCTCAAAGTTACATAAGTGTGATCGAGCTTCTGTTGGATTCAGTGATAACTTTTCTACCTCCATTGAAAGATGATAGTGTTGGCATGGATGGCTCATCAACGGAGATGGATGTTGATGATTCTGTGTGCAAGGGGAAAGGAAAATCTATTGACTCTGTATCTGGAGAGAATGACGCCAATAACCAGGAATCTTCGGCATCTTTGGCGAAGATGGTATTTATATTGAAGCTCTTGACTGAAATTCTCTTGATGTATGCTTCATCTGCTCATGTTCTCCTCCGAAAAGATGCTGAAGTTAGCAGTTGCAGGAGCCCTCCACAGTGTGGTCATGCAGATTACTGCCCTAGTGGAATATTTCACCATATTCTTCACAAATTTCTTCCATATTCCAAGAATTCTAGAAAGGACAAGAAAACAGATATTGACTGGAGGCATAAACTGGCAAGCAGGGCTGGCCAGTTTTTGATGGCGTCTTGTGTTCGTTCCACTGAGGCAAGGAGGAGAGTTTTCACAGAGATCAGTAATATCTTTAATGATTTTGTTGATTCTTCTGAAGGCTTTAGACCTCCAGGAAGTGGTATCCAGGCTTATATTGATCTGCTCAATGATGTAATGACTGCTCGCTCATCCACAGGTTCATATATATCCGCAGAAGCTTCTGTTACTTTCATAGATGTTGGTCTGGTTCGATCGTTGACTCGAACTCTTCATGGGTTGGACCTGGATCATGCTGACTCACCCAAGGTTGTTACAGGACTTGTAAAGGTTCTGGAGTTGGTGACCAAGGAACATGTCCATGCTGCCGAATCTAATACTGGGAAGGGTGAGAATTCATCTAAACCTTCTGATCATATTCAACGTGGAGGAGCAGATAATAGTGGTAATATATTGCAGTCCATGGAAACTACGACTCAACCTAATTTGAATTCAATGCCAACTGATCAGATCGAGTCTTTTAGTAGTGTACAAAACTATGGTGGATCTGAAGCTGTCACGGATGATATGGAACATGACCAAGATATTGATGGGGGTTTTGCTCCTCCCAGTGAAGATGATTATATGCATGAAACTTCTGAGGATACCAGGGGTCTTGAAAATGGACTTGACACTATGGGGATAAGGTTTGAAATACAGCCCAATGTACAAGAGAATCTCGATGAAGATGATGATGATATGTCTGGAGATGAAGGAGATGGAGATGAAGATGAAGATGGAGATGATGAGGAACATAATGACCTGGAAGAAGATGAAGTCCATCACCTAGCGCATCCAGGCATGGATCAAGATGATCATGAAATTGATGATGAGTTTGACGAGGAGGTGATGGAGGAAGAGGATGAAGATGAGGAAGATGATGAGGATGGCGTTATTCTTAGGCTTGGGGAGGGAATGAACGGGATAAATGTGTTTGACCATTTCGAGGTACTCGGTAGAGGTCATAATTTTTCCAGTGAAACTTTCCATGTGATGCCCGTCGAGGTTGAGGTTTTTGGCTCCAGACGCCAAGGGCGTACTACATCCATATACAACCTGCTGGGGAGAAGTGGTGACAATGCTGCACCCTTGCAGCATCCACTTTTAGTGGAACCTTCTTCCTCAATGCACACGGTTCCTTCCAGACAATCAGGTATCTCTACTTCAGATATTGTTCTTTCCCTTATCCTACTCTATGTAATTCTGATAACTTGAACTGCTTATGTCTTGGTTTGTCTTTTTCATTTATTTGTTAACTGCAAGTTCTTATAATCACTTGGACATTATGATCACCCCCCTCTCCCCCCCCTCTTCTATGTCCAGAGAACACCCGTGCTGTTTACTCGGATAGGCGCTTGGAAAACTCCTCATCACGATTGGATTCGATTTTCCGGTCACTGGGAAATGGGCGTCATGGACACCGATCCAACTTGTGGGCCAACGATAACCAGCAAAGTGCTGGATCAAATGCATCTGCAATTCCACAGGGCCTTGAAGAGTTACTTGTTTCCCATTTGAGGCGACCAACCCCTGAGAAACCCTTGGATCAGAACACAATGGTGGAATCTCAGAGTAAAAGTGAGGTCGCCCAGCTCCACGAATCAGCAGAGATGATATCTGAAAACCCTGCTGAAAACAATGGCGGCAGTGGCGGAAGTTCTATACCACCTCCATCTTCAGGAGTACTGGATAGCTCTGGCAATGCTGGTATCAGATCCCTGGCAAGCCCATCTCTTCATGGAACAGATGCATCAACTACTGAGCTTCAATCTGTTGAGTTGCAGCTTGAACATAATGTTAATGTCATGCGGGATGTTGAAGCGGTGAGCCAAGAAAGTAGTGGAAGTGGGGCAACTTTAGGGGAGAGCCTTCGGAGTCTGGATGTTGAAATTGGAAGTGCTGATGGTCATGATGATGGTGGGGACAGGCAAGGATCTGCTGATACTCGAACTAGAAGAACAAATGCATTATTTGGGAATAATACACCAATAACTGGTAGAGATGCATCCCTTCACAGTGTAATGGAAGTTGCGGAAAGTCCTAGTCAAGAAGCAGAGCAGGGTGGTCCAGCTGAGGAGCATCAGGATACTGTTGATGCTGATCATGGGTCGATTGACCCTGCATTTCTAGATGCACTTCCTGAGGAGTTGCGTGCTGAGGTTCTTTCAGCTCAACAGGGTCAAGGGGCACAGCCTTCAAATGCTGGACCACAAAATACGGGAGATATTGATCCGGAATTTCTTGCAGCACTTCCCCCAGACATCCGGGAAGAAGTTTTAGCTCAACAAAGGGCACAAAGGCTACATCAGTCACAGGAACTGGAGGGTCAACCTGTTGAAATGGACACCGTCTCAATAATTGCTACATTTCCTTCAGATTTAAGAGAAGAGGTACATTTTGGGATTGTGACAATTGTAATATTAACTGTCTCCTCTAACTTGACTTTTTTTCTGGGGGGTTGTTTTCGTCCCCATGTTCTTTTGACATCTTCTGATGTTTATTGAGAGTTCGCCCTCTTCTTTTGTGAGATTGTATTTACACCTTCATGTTCTTTTGACATCCTCTAGAGCTATTTGGTAAATCTCATGCGCAATTTTTGGGTGGGTTTGTATTTTGGTCCTCAGGTTCTCTTGACATCGTCTGATGCTATTCTTGCCAATCTCACGCCTGCCCTTGTTGCGGAGGCAAACATGTTACGTGAACGGGTTGCTCGTCGTTATAATCGATCGCTCTTTGGTATGTTCCCAAGAAACCGTAGGGGTGAGCCTTCTAGGCGAGGTGAAGGTCTGGACCAAGCTGGTGGAATTATTGCCCGTAGATCCATGGGAAGTAAGCCAACTGAAGCTGATGGGGCCCCTCTGGTTGACACTGAAGATCTAAAAGCAATGATTCGGTTGCTTCGAGTGGTTCAGGTATTTTCTTGGTATGATTAATTTATCTTTCACCCGTGTTCAACTTTGTGTTCCATGTAACAATTGATACTATTTTGCAGCCGCTTTATAAAGGTCAGCTGCAGAGGCTTCTCTTGAATCTTTGTGCTCATATTGAAACCAGAACTGCCCTGATAAAAATTCTGATGGACTTATTGATGCTTGATATGAGAAAGTCTTCCAATCATTTGAATGCTTCTGAGCCATCATATAGGCTGTATGCTTGCCAAAGTCATGTGATGTATTCTCGTCCTCAATTTTTTGACGGTATGGCCACTTTTCATATCTCTCATTGCTTAGTGTGCAAGTGTTATTTGCCTATTGTCATTGCGTCTTGACTTCGAAATGTAGTTAAAGTAGAGACGTGAACCCAGTTTTGTCATGTGCCATTAACAACTATTTTTATTTTTATTCTTTTGCTCATTATTTTGATAGCTGTCTGTACAAGTTAGAACTTTTTCTTCTGGAGGTGAAACATGAGTTTTTCAAGGTGGTGATACTGAGAATTGCTAAGCCCCAACCCAAGTAGTTGTAGACTTGTGCTCTGGGGCAGGGCTTAGAATGCCTTGGTGTTTTTGTATTAGTGTTTTTTAACTATTTGAATTAATATAGTCCTGGAACAGCCTGGAATTTATCTGATCCCAACCTTAGTTACTGCGCACTGGGAGTTGTAACTCATTCTAGAAGTTACACACTACATGGTAGGATCTGCCTCTTTTTAAGCTAGTTAAAAATAGATTAATAAAACTACTATGGTGTCTAAGGGCTACAACTTCTTTCCATATTACAGACACAGGACACTTATGGTTATTAATAGGGTAAAATTTCATCCACACCCATTGTAGATAACCCTATCTTTAAAGGACCGCATCAATTATCTGAAATTTCATCGACACCCCTTGCAGTTTTTTTCCCCTAACACTAGTGACAAAAGCTATGCTTTTATTTATTTGCCCATCCCAATTTTATGTATTTGTTTAATATATATATATATATACATAGACATAAACATTGACCCATACTTTTTAGTGTATATGTACTTGTGGAAGTGTATAAATGTATATATATTATGTTTATGTACACACACGCCTGCTCGCACACACAATGCCCATTGGCCATTTACACAGAGAGACTTGCCTCCCCCTACCCTCCCCCATCCCCTTGATCCACTACCAATCCCCACCGACACCCAGTCCCTCCACCTCTGCCCCATACACATGACAACCCCTTGCCCTCTCTCTCCCCAAGCCACTCATACCCCTTTTCCGAGAGCCCTTTTCCAATCTCCACACCATGTAATATTGACAATGGGTTGCAATTAGGCATTGGTGAAGTGGTGGTGCTTGCGGGGTAGCTGGTGCGATGGTTGGGCCAAGTAATTTGGGGTTCAGACAGCGCCACAAATAACTGGTTTGGGTCAAGTAATCTGTGCCCATCTTTACAATGATTGGGCATCCTATTCTTTGAATCATCGTCCTCTCAACATTTATTGATGGCGAATTGAAACCGGTTAAGATGGCAACCTGTGAAGTGGACAGAGGAAGGAGGTGGGTTGGTACTGTGGATATACAAATTGATCCAATCATAATTGCAGTGATGAATTTAGTGATGATTGGGTGAATTTGGATGAACTGTTTATGATTTTATTGTTGTTACTTAATTGAATTGTGTAAAGTTGGTGATATCAATTCTGATTTGCATTCTGTTTAGTCTCTCTCTCTCTCTCCATAAATTTGACTGCGTTTGGCACATGAATTGTGTTTGGCATGGGATAGCTGGTGTTGGTGTGAGGTGGCTGGGCTGGATGTGGCGATGCTATGAGATGAGTTCTCTGGGTGTGGTGGTGGTGTGAGATTGGTTCTCTGGGTGTGGTGGTGGTGTGAGATTGAGAAAAATGCCTGAAGATGAGGTGATGTCTGTATTCCTCTCTTGTGCAGCCCCAGGTCAGACCTCAGTCAAAGTCACCAGGAACTAAAACTAGCTCTTATACAAGTTGGAGCTCTCTTCCTGATGGCTGGCTTAAAGCACAGCATGAATGCTGCAAGTGGTCAGTGGGTTTGAACTCAATCAATGAAATTGTGGCTTTTATCACAGTGCCACATGGACTGAATTCATGGGTTCAATGCATATTCTTTTTTTTATTTTTATTTTGATGGATTGGATTTAATTTGATGTTTTTGGTTTGAATTGGGATTGTGATGGTAGTGCGGTGGTTGGGTTGTGGTGGCCATGGCGCCTGTAGGCATAATGTGTATATGTGTGTGTGACGGAAGGAGGAGAAGAAAAGAAGGAAAATGAGAAGATGAGGTGGAGACATATATTATAGATGGCCATTATAGCCATTTTAGGAAAATTATTCGTATGATGTCAGCATTTTTGATTTGTTAGAAGGGAGTGTGGTTGAGGAAGAGATATTAGCTACAAGGGGGTGCATCGAAGATAAGGCAACCTACAAGGGGTGTGGATCAAGGTTTCCCTTATTATTATTTTTTGGGCGTTTCAGTTTGTGTAGTTTTCTGGCCTCCCTTTATCAGTTCACCATGAAAATTACTTTTCCGAAAATGGTCTAGAAGTAGGTGCTTCACTCCTTTTTTGATTATTGATTTTCTTAAAAGACCCATTTTGCTTCTAGGTCCGAAACTCTTATTTGCATCAATTTTATGTTATCTTTGTTTTTCATTTCTTGGGACTTGGGAGGCTATGGCTGGCAGACTCAATTTGTAGAACGGGCTCAGTATGACTACTTTTTTTTTTTTTGTGTTTATGTATATCTGTATATGTTGTGAATGTGAATAGTGAAATGTCCTGTGCATACCGTTCACGTGCTCTTATGAAGTTCCACTACATATTTTGAGTAACTAAGACACACGAGTTACACAATCGTTGTTCGCCATTTGTGGAGTTTGGAGGTTTTTTGGAGTAAAATTTAGCTATACCAGTTTTATGTATCTTCTCTATTCATAGGCGTTCCTCCTTTGGTGTCTCGGCGTGTTCTGGAAACTCTGACATACTTGGCTCGAAATCATCCTTTTGTGGCAAAGATTTTACTGCAGTTTAGACTGCCAATACCAGATGTACACGAGTCGGAGAATTTGGATCAGAGACGGGGCAAAGCTGTGATGATTGTTGGAGATGATATAGAGAAAAGGCAGCATCAGGAAGGATACGTTTCTATTGCATTGCTTTTGAGTCTCTTAAATCAACCCCTTTATTTGAGAAGTATAGCCCATCTAGAACAGGTGACGGGTTGCATAGAATTGTATTATGCTGTCAGTTAACTACTATCTAGATTGTTTCCAATTCCGTTTTGATTATTGTTTCAGCTGCTGAATTTGTTAGACGTCATTATTGATAATGCTGAAGGCAGATTGAGTTCATCTGATGAGCATGGAGCATCTGCAGCTGACCAATCATCTGGTCCCCAGGTTTCCACCTCAGATGCTGAGATAAATACTGGCTCTGGTGGCATGTCCTCTGGCTCTGAGGCCACAACGTGTAAGGCTGATGACGCCATCAAACCCCCGTCCTCTGATGTAAACAAGGAGTGTGATAGTGAAGTTGTTCTTCGTAACCTACCACAGGCTGAACTTCGACTTCTATGCTCACTGCTTGCACGGGAAGGGTAGGATGGATTTTGCACCTGTCATTAGTTTTTGAAGTCCCAATATTTTTACTTTAAATTTCTTTTAATTGAATATTATACATTTCCATGAAGTTTTCCCTTGAAAGCAGTTCCATACGATAGACCAAAATGTAGTGCTAATTCATACAAAAATGGAAATTGTTAGGCTTCATCTAATGCATAGGATGAACTTTTTTAATATGAGACGTATTTGGGAATGCTACCGAGAATGCTTTGGGTTGGATAGCTGTAATAAAACACAAAAAAAAAAAATTGATAGTTTCATCACTGCTCATTCTAGTCTGAAGTAGCCCATGATGTATCATGGGCTAATTTGTAAATGGTGTTAACTTGGTTGTAATTTGGGATTTTGGGGTAGAAGGGTAAGTAACATTTACCTAACATCCTGCCCATCTCATATGCTTCATTGGAATCATGCAAGTGCCTGTTACTAATACTCCTTGCTACAATACTTTAGCTTTAAATAGTTTAATGTCTGCAGTTTTGAATACCATTATTGGTTTTGATTGTCTATTTTCCTTTCCATTCCTATGATTGGACTAATATACTCCACTGACCTGCAGTCTATCAGATAACGCATATGCTCTTGTGGCCGAGGTGTTGAAGAAGTTGGTGGCTATTGCTCCCACTCATTGTCATCTATTTATCACTGAACTAGCTGGTTCTGTGCAAAATTTGACTAAATCTGCAAGGGATGAGCTGCGTGGATTTGGGGAAGTAGAGAAAGCACCCCTCAGTACTGCATCCTCTGATGGAGCTGCAATACTCAGGGTTTTGCAAGCTTTAAGCTCCCTCGATGCTTCAGTTGATGAGAAGGAAAAGAATCACCAGAGAGTTTCTGAGACAGAGCGCGCTGCTGCTCTTCCTCTTCCTCTTATACGGAACATCAATGTGGCTTTGGAGCCTTTGTGGCTGGAGCTAAGCACTTGCATAAGCAAAATAGAGAGCTATTCAGATTCCGCACCTGATGTGTCAAAGTCCTCTATAATATCCAGATCCGAAACATCTCGTGTAATGCCTCCACTTCCTGCGGGGACTCAGAACATCTTACCATACATAGAGTCCTTCTTTGTGATGTGTGGGAAATTGCACCCTGGCCAATCAGGTGCCGGACATGATTTTGGTGTTGCTGCAGCTTCTGATTTTGAAGATGCCACCAGTTCTGCTAGCCAGCAGAAAACTTCAGGAACAGTTTCGAAAGTCAATGAAAAACACATCGCTTTTGTGAAGTTCTCTGAGAAGCACAGGAAGCTTCTCAATGCTTTCATCCGGCAAAACCCTGGGTTGCTTGAGAAATCTTTCTCGCTCATGCTGAAGGTTCCTCGCTTTATTGATTTTGACAACAAACGTGCTCACTTTAGATCTAAGATTAAGCATCAGCATGATCATCATCATGGTCCTCTCAGAATTTCTGTGAGAAGAGCTTACATTCTTGAAGATTCATATAATCAACTGCGCATGAGATCAACACTGGATTTGAAGGGGAGGCTGACGGTTAACTTCCAAGAGGAGGAAGGAATTGATGCTGGTGGACTTACCAGGGAATGGTATCAGTTATTGTCGAGGGTTATTTTTGACAAGGGAGCACTATTATTTACGACAGTGGGCAATGAATCAACATTTCAGCCGAATCCCAACTCTGTGTATCAAACAGAACACCTTTCCTACTTCAAGTTTGTTGGGCGAGTTGTGAGTATTTTTTATTTCCTGTTGTTGGATCAAGTTACTTGGTATCTGCTTAGCTCTGATGCCCTCTATACATACTCCAGGTAGGGAAAGCACTTTTTGATGGACAACTTCTAGATGTTCATTTCACCCGGTCTTTTTACAAGCATATCCTTGGGGTGAAAGTGACGTATCATGACATTGAAGCCATTGATCCTGATTACTTCAAAAATTTGAAGTGGATGCTTGAGGTGTGTGAGGATCATGCTCTCTCTCACACACACACACACACAAAATATATGGAAATCTGATTTTTGCTGTTTTTACTAAAAGTAATTTTACCAGGGTCACCAGACTTAGTCCTTACTTTTCTATTGCAGAACGATATAAGCGATATTTTAGATCTTACTTTTAGTATTGATGCTGATGAAGAGAAGCTGATACTCTATGAGCGGACGGAAGTATGAATTTCCCCTGGTCCTTCTTCAATCAATTATTTCTGCAGTATTTGTATGTCAAATTTTAAATGTGATTTGTGTAATGTAGGTAACTGACTATGAACTGATCCCTGGTGGACGGAACATTCGAGTTACTGAGGAGAACAAGCATCAGTATGTTGATTTAGTTGCTGAGCACCGGTTAACTACTGCAATTCGTCCTCAAATAAATGCATTTTTGGAAGGATTTAATGAATTAGTGCCTCGGGATTTGATATCTATATTTAACGATAAGGAACTGGAACTATTAATAAGTGGGCTACCAGATATTGATTGTAAGTTCCCTATACTTCGTTAATTATTTCTACTTTTTTTAGCTTGATGCCCGTGAAGATGAAAAGTCGCTAATCTTTACAAAATACTGTATTTATGTCTTTCAGTGGATGACATGAGGATGAATACTGAGTATTCTGGGTATAGTGGGGCATCTCCTGTCATTCAGTGGTTCTGGGAGGTTGTTCAAGGTTTCAGCAAGGAAGATAAGGCTCGCCTCTTGCAATTTGTAACTGGCACTTCAAAAGTATGTGTCTTTTTTGTATGTTTCATTTTGTTTTACCAATTTGCATGCACAAGAAACTCAAGTCAATGGTTTCAAATCTAAATTAAACAATACACTGTTGTTGTTACTTTGTACAAACTTTGGATTATCACATGACCAACATCATCTGATTGACATAAACTTGAGAATTTTACCTTGCAAAAAGAAACAAATTCGTGGTCTATTTGAATGCCTTGTGTAGTCAGGGACCGACTCTGAACTACTTTTGCAGGTGCCTTTAGAAGGATTCAATGCTCTTCAAGGAATTTCAGGCTCACAGAAGTTTCAAATACACAAGGCGTACGGCAGTCCTGATCACTTGCCTTCAGCACATACATGGTAACATTCTATTCTAATCATCATTTTATTTATTCCACTGAAAATGTCGACGTCTTAAACTCCTACACCGCCTTTGACATTTCAGTCTATTTTTGCCCGTTAGATCTTATTATAGATGTCCTGGTGGGATTCTTTACCCAATTTCTCTTAATGGATGCAGTTTTAACCAGTTAGATTTGCCGGAGTATCCTTCTAAACAGCATCTAGAGGAGAGACTGCTGCTTGCTATTCACGAAGCCAATGAAGGATTTGGATTCGGTTAAAGGAATCTATAGGGTCACCAAGTGATCATGTAAATAATACAATGTCATCCGAAATGTCATGAGAAAAAGCTGAAAGATTCAAGTAGGTAAATGTCCATATCCTGTACAGTATATTTTCTATTGCAAATTTTTCTGGCAGTTTTTAGCTTTGCCAATTTACTACATTGTACCTTTGCATACTTTTTTTTTTTTTTTTCAAATTGTTGTTGCTATCTTTTTTTTTTCTTGATAAGAAACAAGACTTTATTGAAAAAAAAAAAAAAGCCAAAAAGGCAAACCAAATGAAAAGTGGACAAGTTGTTCAACACAATGATCAATTAATAGAAACATAAAGAAAAACAAGTTATAATCCACATGATATCATGGCTTTATAGTGGCCATTGAGGACTTCCAAAGTTTTTCCTATGCTGAATATTGAGAGAAACAAAGTTTGTTGAAACTTATTTAATGGGACTCACGTGTAGACTTTATTAAGTAAGGTGTAGACTTTGGTTTTGGGATAAAGATATCTTAATTAAAAGACCTAACATACATTGGTTAGGTTAGTTGATAGTTTTCTTGTGAAAATTGTGTTTAACAAATAGGCAATTTTCTAACAGTTATCTTGATGGGAGAGAACGTGCTCGCGAGGAAAGAAAGACGAGGAAAGAAAGAAGAGCGATAACGTTCAATTAAGATTTGACTGTTTGTAGCATGGGAGCAAATACGTAAGAACAATGAAAAAAAAAAAAAATCTCGGTAACAAAAATTATAAGAGGTTGTATTGACATTCGTTACTACGAAGGAAAATATAAATTATCAACATCTTTCACTCTAGAAAACTTATTTGCAATCTGCTGAGAATCAAGTTTGTGATTATATTCGGTATCCTTAGTATTCTTCTTGTGGGGATTTTTGCAGCATATCTATATTAAAAATTATTGTTATGGATCTTGTAAGTCAAGGTTAATTTTTCATTCAATCTGTTAAAGACCATTAGGTCTATCAGAGGTATGTTCAAATTGTTAACATTGATAAAGAGAAGAGAGAAAGAAGACAAGAATAATGTTTAACATAATCCATTCAGTAAATCAATCTTGACACAAATACACAATGTAGGTCCTTATATATTAGGGCAACAAAAGAATCTAAAATACCTAAACTACCCATAATATAAATACTCTAATATCTCCCTCAAACTCATGATGTGGTAGCATCAAATATCAAGAGTTTGCCAATGAGAAAACGAAAGCGTGCAATAGTGTGGGATTTGGTGAAAAAATCTACCAACTGCATAGTAGAAGTAAGATATGGGAGAGAGATCGTGCCCAACTGAAGATGATGGCGCACAAAGTGACAGTCAATCTCTATATGTTTGGTACGCTCATGAAACACCGAGTTGTAAGAAATCTAGATAGCATTGGTGTTATCACAATACATAGGAGTAGGAATTGTCAAGGAAATGCCAAGATCAGCAAGCAACCAATGCGACCAAACTATCTCTGCTATGGTAGATGTCATAGCACGATACTCAGTTTTAGCAGAAGAGCGAGCTACAACCGTTTATTTATTGCTTTTTCAGGAAATAAGTGAATCACCAAGAAAGAGATAAAAAACCAGTGGTAGATTTGCGATCCATAGTCACCAGCTCAATTCGCATCAGAGTAAGCACAGAGCTCCAGGGACGAAGAAGAAGAAAATAATAAATTCTGATATAACGTACCCCATAGATATCAAAGAATCTGAAGTACAGCAAACTAGTGAAATGTGGTAGGAGCATCAACAAATTAACTAAACACATGAACTGCATAAGCAATATCTAAATGAGTAACAGTAAGATACACAAAAATTTCAACAATAGTACGATATTAGGTAGGATCTAAAAGGAGAGAACCATCAGAAAAAGTATAACGAACATTAAGCTTCAAGGGTATGTCAACAGTTCGAATATCCGATAAACAAGCTTGCAGAATAACATCTGAGACATATTTTGACTGAGCAAGAAGATAATCCTTAGGAGAGGAAACAATCACAATCCCTAAGAAATATCAAAGTGGACCCAAATCTTTCATCTCAAAATAATCCTGTAAGTGAGTTTTCAATAGCTGAATTCTAGCATTGTCATCACTTGTAATAATCATGTCACCCACATAAAGTAATAGAAGAATGAAACTAGAAGAAGTAGATCGAAGGAAGAGTGCAGAATCATGATCACTAGCACAGAAACCTAAGTCACATATGACTAAAGAAAATTTTACAAACCATTCCCTCAGGGCCTATTTAAGACCATATAAAGTCTTGTGAAGTTTGCACACATGATCAAGACTACAAGGCAACCCAAGAGGAGGAGTCATATAGACCTCCTCAGATAAATCACCATGAAGAAAAACGTTTTTCACATCTATATAAGAAAGGCTCCACTGACGAACAGCTACCACAACAATCAATGTGGGAATTGTGGTCATCTTAGCCACTGGAGCAAAGGTCTCATCGTAGTCAAGCTCAGATTCTTGAACAAATCCTTTGGCTACTAATCTAGTCTTGTACCTTTCCACAGAACCATCAGATTGGGTTTTAATTTTATAAATCTATTTACAACCAATGAGGCGTTTACGAGGAGGTAAAGGCACCAACTCCCAAACTTGAGTCTTATGTAGCGAAAAAAGTTCCTCATCCATAGCCTGTTGTCAAAGAGAATCAAGGATAGCCTCATTATAGGAGGTTGGTTCAGACAGAGAATGTATAGAAGTCAGAAAAGAACAAAAATCAGAAGAGTAACAAAAGTTGAACCAACCAAACCTGTCAGGACACTTTCGAGTGCGTGGAGGGTAACGAGGAGTGTGATCTACGGTGTCAAAAATTGATTGGGAGCCAAAAGGTACATATAGAGGCACAACATATGTAGAGGAGACAGTGGGAGTCCTGCGAACATAAGTATGCACAATCGGGGGATGAGTAGCAGACAAATCAGGTAAAGAAAAAGAGGAAGAAGAAGAGAAAGGAAGATCAGCCACAGTCATATCACCAGCATAAGAATCAGGAGAAACATTAACGGGAAAGGGATCAAGATAGATAAGATCAAATTTAAATAAAAATGAAGAACTAGATGAAATAGAGAAAAAAGGAATATGCCCCATAAAAACAATATGGCAAGAAACATAGAGTTTTTGTATACTAAGATCGTAACACCGAAATTCCTTTTGTCCCTCATCGTAGCCAAGAAAAACACATAAGGCTGAACGAGTCGAAAGTTTGGTACGATTAACACTAAGTAGCAGAACGAATCATTTACATCCAAACACACATAAAGAGAAATAGTTAGGGGTCTTATCCCATAACTTTTCAAAAGGTGAGACACCAAAATTAAGGATTGTAGGAATGCAATTAATCAGATGAATTACTGTAAGAACTGATTCTCCCCAAAAAGAGCCAGGGACATTGGATGACAACAACAAAGAACGAGCTGTCTCAATAATGTGACGATGCTTCTGTTCAACCACTCCATTCTGAGCAGGTGTATCAGTACAAGAAGATTGAAAAACAGTACCATTAGATTTCAACAAATCACAAAAAGCACTAAAAGAATATTCTCCATCGTGATCACGGCCGAAGCATTTGATGATAGAAGAATATTGGGTACGCACCATAGCACAAAAGGTAGTGAAAATGAAAAAGAACCCAGACCTACGTGTCATTAGATACACCTAACAATATCTGGTATGATCATCAATAAAAGAAACATAATATCTAGACCCCCCTTTAATAACAATAGGAGTTGGTCCCCAAATATCAGAATGTACAATATCAAAAGGTGCAAGAGAATGAGAATTATTTTTATTGAAAGATAATGTAGTAAATTTTGCCAACTTAATAACCACTACAATTTGAAATATCATGGCACTCTAAACTACCCAAACTATCAGTAGAAATTATAAATTTTAAACGAGAATGAGAAACATGACATAAACGAGAATGTCATAAATAAAAACTAAACGACTTTAGACTCAATTGAAAAGAAGATAAATCAACAGTAGATGCAACAACTTCAGGAAGATGAAGTTCATCCAACACATATAGCCCTTCATTTCTATGGCCTGTCCCAATCAGCTTCTTGGATCGTGGATCCTACACAACACAACCAGTAGAAGAAAAGTGAACTAAAAATTTTGAATCAAACAACTGACTAACAGATATTAGATTTAAAGTAAGTTGAGACATATAGTAGACATCAGGAAGTGTAAGCTGAGAAGATACAATAGTTCCAACACCAGCCAAAGACAATTGGGTGCCATTGGCTGCAAGGACAGATATAGAGAGAGTGGAAACAATAGAAACAAATAAAGACAAATTGCTAGTCATATGATGGGTGGCCCCTGAGTCAAATACCTAAACTGTTCGAGATATACCTGAAGAACCTGTAGTAAATGAACCTATGGAAAGAAAAACTGATAGGACACCTGGTTGATGAAGAGAAAGAAGTTTCTGCAACTGATCAGCTATCATAGTCATGCTGGGCGCTGATGGAAGTGTCTTATCCACTGGTGAAGCAACTACAACTGTATGACGATCTTTGGGCTTGCATGGCTACTGTAAGGCCCCCTTGGCATTCTTGTTCACCAATTTAGGACATTGAGTCTTCCAGTGACCCTTTTTACGACAAAAATTATACTCATCTGAAGCAGCTCGACCCGATATTTAGTCTATGAGTGAGAAGTCAATCTGGGTGGTACAACCGATATAGTCTGATTAGGCAATGAAAGAAGACCCTTTCCAGAAAGAGTATTAAGATCGACTTCTTCAGGCAAAAGTTCATTCACCACTGCATCAACTGTGGGAAGTGGGAGACGATGAAGAATAGAACCAAGAAGGCCCTCAAGTCATCTCTAAGGGCCATCAAAAACTGTATCAACCGCTGCTCTTCCTTAAAAGTACAATATACCATATGAGTGCTTAATTCAACAGACTCAGCAAGTGCTAACTGATCCCAAAATTCAGTCATAATGGAGTAGAATTCCTGTATGGTCTTATCACCGTGACGTGCAGCTCGAATTTCATTCTAAAATCGATATCTCTTTACAAAATTGGACTGCACAAACAATGTAGTTAAATAATCCTAAATCTCTTTGGTTGTGTTAAACTTAGCCAAATGTACATCAATGGTCTGATCAATTGAGTTGTTAATCCAAGTGATGATTTTAGCATTATTGACTTCCCAAGTATTCTGTAAATCAGTATATTTCTCTGCCTTCAAATCTGTTGAAGCTTGCAAAGCACCACTAAAATAACTTCACATCTCTTTTTCCAACAAAAAATTATTCATAACATAAGACCAATATACATAATTTTCACTATTCAGTCTGACACTAATAGCTTGAAGAGAGTCAAATTATCCATTTGCCATAATGTTAATAAAACAAGAAAAAAAACAACTAAATTGTCAGCAAAAATCTAGCAACCCAGCAAATCAATAAACTACCACTTTTCAAATTTAACCGCAGAACAACAATTACAAAATAGTCAGTGCACTGTGAAACCAAGAAGAACAAAATCGAAAAGACCATCGTGAACAAATAGTCGGCGCACTGTGAACAGCCAGACACAACAAATGCACAAAATCAACAAACCAGCACCAAAGAGGAGTAAAAACAAACCAAAGAGGATCACAGCGCACCAAAGAGGAGAGGAAACTACCAGATTTATGGCTGGATGACCACCCGAACAATACCCGTCGGCCAAAAACTCACCAAAAATGCATCAACAACACTCCAAGAAGGCTGAGTATGTCAAACCAACCCTCTATTCATCTAATCGAAGCTATCTGTGAAGGATCAAAGCCTCCAATTGCAAGAAAAAATCCCAAATCTTCATATATGAAAAAAAAAAACTCCCTATTTTTGCTAAAATATTCAAAAATAGAAAATTTCAGCCAAATGACTTCAAAATCAAAAATAAATCATACCATTGAAATGCCCATGAAAAATCGAGTCTAGCAATGCTCTCCTTGATTGCAGTCTGCTGACATCAGCAATGACGTCAGCCCTAACTTAATGACGTCAGTCCTCTTTTAGAAAATCTGATACTGTGTTCTTCAAAAATTTTAAGTATGTTAGAATCAAATAATGCTCTGATACCATGTTAACATTGATAAAGAGAAGAAGAGAGAAAGAGAGGTCAAGAATAATGTTTAGAGTAATCCATTCAGTAAATCAATCTTGACACAAATACACAATGTAGGCTCTTATATATTAGGACAACAAAAGAATATAAAATACTTAAATTACCCATAATATAAATACTATTAACACAAATGACGAAGTCTAGCAAGATAATCATCATTATAATTTGCTTTTTAAACAGTGGGCTACTTTTTTGGTCTATTTGGACAGATACAACAACGTATTGAACACAAATACACCTAACTTTTAAGAATTTAAAATGACAATTAACCAAAAAATTTAACCCAGATAATAATGTCTCAAATTTAACCTTAAAAAAAGATCATTCATAATAATTAAGTGATAGATAGACAATTAATCAGTCAGTCGAGTTTGATTCCAAAATTTCCAAAGTATCATGTTAGAAATAACATATGGTCTCGATGCCATAAAAATTGGGTAAACCCCCCCCCCCCCCCCCCCCAAAAAAAAAAAAAAAAAAAAAAAAAAAAAAAAAAAAAAAAA